GAGGGGAGAGAGATTCACGGAGGTGTTGAGGGAAACACGATTTTGTAACCACTTGTGGGATCTGCCGGGGTGAGGGCTGGGTCGAAAGGTGGAAGTAGGGGAGGGGAGGGGGGGGAGGGGGGGAAGTCGATGGAGGTGGAGGGTGGGAAGCAGAGAGGGAGGGAGGGAGGGAAGGAGGGAGGGAGGGAGATTATGTTTGTGTTTCTTTTGCCTCTATCTCTGCCTGGCTGTGTGGTTATTTGCTTCTCTTCTCTTGTCTCTCTCATTCTCTCTCCTTTTTCTCTTTTTCTTTTTCATCTTCATTTTCTCTCTCTCTCTCTCTCTCTCTCTCTCTCTCTCTCTCTCTCTCTCTCTCTCTCTCTCTCTCTCTCTCTCTCTCTCTCTCTCTCTCTCTCTCTTTCCTCGTACTCTTTCACAATAGCAGGAACAGAAACAACAAGCTGAACACTATAATTTGCAATGCGGGGAAGAGGCATGCAACTGAAGAACAATATCTAAGCCCCTTTTCAACATCACTTTTGCAATAGTCGAACGCAATTGCGGATTCATCTAACGCTACAGATACGGAACATAAACAGTTCGTAAACTTCACTATTTTTTTTTCTTCTTCTTCTTCTTAAGTGCTTAGTAAAACGGCAAAGTTTATTGTTTGTCACTTTAAAGCCGGATTAAGTGTCACAACCTTTCTTTTCTTTGTTGTGTGGTTATTTTTATCCTTTGTTAATATAGCTTTTGTCTTTTTTTTTTTTTTTCTTTTTTTTGCCTTTTGCCTTTTGCCTCCGTGTTCTGTGTACTATTCTCCGTGTTCTTTCGTGTTCTTTTTAGTCTGTTCTTCGTCACGATAAAAGGTCAGGGTATGTAACCTTAAGTCTTAAGGCCGGCCACGCTTTTTTTCTTTTCTGGATTATTATTATTACTTTTTTCCTCGGTGCCTTTTCTCGTTTCATGTGCTTATTGTTCTTTCTGTACTTGATTTTTGTCACTTATTCATTTTTTTTTATTTGTTTTTATCCCCCCCCCCCTCTCTTCTCTCTCTCTCTCTCTCTCTCTCTCTCTCTCTCTCTCTCTCTCTCTCTCTCTCTCTCTCTCTCTCTATATATATATATATATATATATATATATATATATATATATATATATATACATACATATATACGTGCATATATATATATATATATATATATATATATATATATATATATATATATATATATATATATATGTATATATATATATATATATATATATATACATATATATATATATATATATATATATATATATATATATATATATATATATATATATATATATATATATATACATATATACATATATATATATATATATATATATATATATATATATATATATATATATATATATATATATATATATATATATATATATATATATATGCACGTATATATGTATGTATATATATATATATATATATATATATATATATATATATATATATATATATATATATATATATATATATATACACTCTCTTTTTCCACGTCTCCCCCTTCCCTCTTCATCCTTTTTAACTCCTTTTCTCCTTCCCTCAGTCTCCCTCCTTCCCACTTTCCTCCCTCATCTCTCTTACCTTCTTTACTCCCCAATCTCTGTATTATCTTTCCATCCTCCTCTTACTCCCAAAGTTTCTCCTTCTCCCCTTCTCTTCCTCTCCTTCTTCCATATCTGTTTCTACCATCCCCCCTCCTCCTTCTCCTCCTCTCTCCTTCCCTCTTTCCTTCCCACCAGGCGTAACGACCTATAGTTAAGGTACAAAGGGTCGACGGAAGGGTTTAATTACACGGTAATTTCGACTTTAAAGACTCGTGTAAAATTTAGAAAGGTTATTTTAAAGGTGTTTGGCTTTTGTGTGTATAAATATGTACATAAAAAATCCTTAACAATGTGGTCAAGATTTTATGTTCTTTTACTGATAATGATAATAATAATAATAGTAATGATTATTATTATTATTATTATTATTATTATTATTATCATTATTATTATTATTATTATTATTATTATTATTGTTGTTGTTGTTGTTATTATTATTATTATTATTATTATTATTATTATTATTATTATTATTATTATTATTATTATTATTATTGTTGTTGTTGTTGTTGTTGTTATCATTGTTATTATTACTATCATTATCATTGTTAATCTTGCTGCTATTGTTATTATTAATAGTAGTAGTAGTAGTAGTAGTAGTATAAGTATAACTATAAGTCTTTGTATTTGTATTCGTATTGTGCTATTTTTCTTCTGTTTTATTTCTATTTTTCATTTATTATGATATATTTTACTGATGCCAATTTCTATAGTTTTTTATACTAATTTACTCAATTACATGCTATCATTATCTTCACTGATAATTATTATGGCGATTATACTGATCATGATAGTAATAAAGCTGATGATGATAAAAAAATGAGACTGATGATGGTGATAATGATAATATTGATGACAATAATGATAATGATGATATTGATAAAAGTAATAATGGTAATAATACAAAAAGATATTGATAGTGATAATGATAGTGATAGTGATAATGATAACAATAATAGTAATGATAATAATGACAACAATGATAATTATTATTGCAATAAATGATAATGATAATAATGATAATGATAACGCTATTAATACTGAGCATGATAATAAGGATAATGATAATAAAAATAATGATAATAATAATAGTAAGAAGAAGAACAACAATGATAATGATGATAATAATGATAGTAATAGTAATTGCAGTAGTTGTTGTCGTAGTAGCAGTAGTAATGATAATATTACTAGTACTACTATTGCTACTATTACTACTTCTACTACTACTACAGATAATGATGATACTGATAATGATGATCATGATAATAATAATAGTAATAATAATAATAATAACAATAATGATAATAAGGGAAGGGGGAAGGGAAGGGGGAAAGGAAGAGCAAGGGAAGGGGCAAGGGGGGGGGGGGAAAGGATGGACAAGGGAAGGGCAAGGGAGGGGGGAGGGAGAGGGAGAAGGAAGGGAGGGGGAAGGGTTAGGGGAAGCAGATTCGTTTTAGATCACCTCAGGCAGAGATCATAAGCCCAGCTGTGACCTGCAACTCCCCCTGCCCCCCATTCCATCTCCCCAGCCAACATCACCCCTCCCCCCCTCCCTCGCCTCTCTTACCTCTTACCCCCCCCCCCCCATCTTCCCTCGCCTCTCTTGACTCTACTCCCCACCTCCCCTCCCCCACCCTCCCTCGCTTCTCTTGCCCCTACCCCCCTCCCTTCCCTTCTTGTGGGCGGCCGTAACGCCCATCACTCGCTCTCTGACGCCCATCTGCTATTGCTCCTCTCCTCTCTCCTCTTTTTTATCTTCTCTGCGTCTCTCTTTATGCTCCTCTTTCGTTGTTCTTCGGATTTAGTTTTGGGCGGTTCATTGTTCCTAATTCTGTTTGTCTGTCTCTCTCTCTCTCTCTCTCTCTCTCTCTCTCTCTCTCTCTCTCTCTCTCTCTCTCTCTCTCTCTCTCTCTCTCTCTCTCTCTCTCTCTCTCTCTCTCCCTCCTTTACTCACCCTTTATTCCTCCCTTCCTCACTTCTTCCACACTCATCCCATCTCACCCTTGAACTTTGTCACCCTTCAGCCACACCCTTCACCCTCGGCGTCTTCGCTCGCCACCCTTTCTCCTCCTCCTCGACCCTCCACTCAACAGCGCGTGGAAACGGGCTGTTTTTTCCCGATTGGTATATATATATATATATATATATATATATATATATATATATATATATATATATATATATATATATATATATATATATGTGTATGTGTGTGTGTGTGTGTGTGTGTGTGTGTGTGTGTGTGTGTGTGTGTGTGTGTGTGTGTGTGTGTGTGTGTGTGTGTGTGTGTGTGTGTGTGTATATATAAACATATATACATATATATTTAATTTGCCTCTTTTCCTTATTTCTATTTGTATCTTTATTAACCGATGTTTCATTTCTTCTCTTCGCTTTGTCTTCATTATCCTACGGATTATCATGATTTTTTTTTTTTTGCCAAATTATCCGTTTTTTAACAATTTTTGTAACGTCTTACATGTTTTCATTCATAACAAAGAAATTTCATGGTTCACTTATTTCACAAAATCTTGTTTCCATGTACCCTTCCTTCCCCTTCCTCTCCCTTTTCCTTTCTCTTGCCCTCCCTGCCTCGTCCCATTTCATCACATTGTGTCCATCTCTGATCTTTATCTGTGTCCCTTGCTCCCTGACCCCTCGCCTAACTGCGCTCGTCTGCCAACACTTTTTCCTCTTTCTCCTCTTCGGTTTGTCCTCCTTTTCTTTCTCTCCTTTTTCTTCTCTTTCTTTCTCCGATCTGTTCCTTCTCCTTCCTTTCTCTGTTTTCTTTTTTTCTTCCCATACACCCTCTCCTCTTCTTGTTCCACTACTTCTTCCTCCTACGCTTCCCTCCCTCTTTTTTCTTCTACTTCTTCTCCTTCTATTCCTCCCTTTCTTCTTCCTCTTTTCTTCCTCTTGCTCCTCCTTCCTCCCCCAGCCACACCTCTGCTTTCAAGTTCTCGTATGTCACGATTTTTCTTCTCTGCTTTTTTCATCAGTCCTCTCTTCATGATTTCAGCATCACATTCTTTTTTTATATCTGTCATCTGTTTGCTTCTCTTTTCCTACTTACTTTTTTCGTAGAGGAGGAATGTGTACAGAAAGAAAAAAGAAAAAAAAGGAGATTAAGAAGATGAAGGTGATAATAGACGATTTGATCAAGTAACCAAGTGATCATCAACATCATAATGAGTTTGACAGAGCTCTTCATATATATTTTTTTCCTAGATGTTGAGTTCATTCCTTGGGTCCATTTTTTTAAAGACGTCTCATTTAACTTGAACAAGAACAAAGAGAAATACGACTGTCGGAGAAGAGTTTCTCCAACGACAATAACAACTAACTTTTATTTTCTTCTTTTACAGGTCCCCTTCGCAAGGAATCCAAAAAAGTGGTGAGACTTTGACGGAAATGTCATAGACACCCCTTCCTGTGTTTCGCTTTCTTGCCGCGAGATGGCAGCACGAAGGATGTCCAGGACGCCCTTCCTGTTGCTCCTGCTGGCTGCGCTGCCCTTCAACGCCGGCCAAGGTAAGGACGCTGGGTCTTTTCTCTACCTCCTTCCAGTACGATGTTTCTTTATGATGGTAGCGATAGTGATGATAAAGCTTTCTGAGGACAGCACTGTGTTGCCCACCACCCCCTTGCCCTTCACTAGTTATGATACTTTTATGATGATAGTGATGGTGATGAACCTTCCAACAGGCAGATCTATGTCACCCCCTCGCCCTTCTTTCGCTATGCTGTGGACGAAAGGATGTACGGCTCTGATGACACTGACGATTCTGATAACCTTTTCTTGTTGCTTGTGGTGGCCAAGGTAATGACGCTGGCCCGACCCTCACCCTCGCTGTGATGTGTCTGTAAGATTGTGATCACAAAAACCAACCACCTTGCTTTTCCTTTTAGCTCCCCCCACCCCCCTCCTCGTTATACAATGTGGACGAAGGGCGAATGTTTTGATACGTATTGTAATTTTATGCGGTTGAAATGAGCGCTTTTCATTGATAACGATCGCCCATCTTGTTCGTTCTGGTCAAGGAAAAGGAGGTAATGATGGCAATAAAGATATGAAAACTCCTACCTGGTAAATCTTACGCTGCGTCTCCCCCCCCCACCCCCCACCCCACACCTTCAGCTGAACCTATAATAATTTTTTTTGTTGTGATGATGGTGAAGATAGTGTGGATAATCATAACCGTTCTTGTTGAGTAAGGTTAAGAACGCGATGTCTCCGCCCCTCTTACTTTTGATATTCTGGTCATGAAAAAATAAAAAAATGGAGATGGTTTATTATAACTTATGATTATGATAACTTTCCTCTTGGTCGAAGGGAAGGCCGCTGGGTCTGCAACTCGCACTTTCGATATTTGCATATTTATAAAAACAGGATATTTTTTTCATGTTTTATATATTTACATACATATTTTCTCTTGTCTTCTGCGGTTAGTATGATAATAATGACCTTACAAATGCTCTTCTACACTAGCTAAGTAAAGGAGTTGTTGGATCTTCGCATGGAAAGATGAAGAAGAAAGTGGAGAATGATTGATGAGATGTCTAATGTGATGGACGTTGATGCTACTTTTTATCTCTTACTTTGAGTTATCATCATCATTAGTGTTGTCATCAGGATTATCGGGATTCATAATTTCTTTTAATAGATATTATCTTCATAATCACAACTCGTTATAGTAGTAACTAGTAGTAGTAGTAAAATAATAGTACTCTTATACAGTGGCGTCAATACTCCTGTTATAACCAATAAACGTTGCTATTATTATCATATTTCTCGTTGTTAACATTTGAGACAACCACCATCACCAAGAATAAAACAGTAACAGCACTCCATCACCTTCTGTCACTCTCGCATTTTCGCTAAACGCTAAAATAGCGCTGCGCTGCCAAAACGCATCGCTCGAAACGGTCCGAAAATGAACGCGGCTTTTGTGTCCAAATGGCGGTTAACTTGACCGTGAAGTTTCAATTTAGAATGTCGGTATGCAAGTTTTAAAGATTCCTCCTCGTGGGCGTGTTGTGGGCGGGGGAAGAGGCGCTCAGGGGCAGCAGTGGGCGGGATATGGATGTGAGGGTAGTTGTGGGCGGCATTTTAAGCGGAGAAAGTTGTTGGGTTTGTTTCGGAAAAAAGAGCTGAGTCACTGTGCTTGGGGGGTCGAGAAGGGGGGTCATTTGGAACGCGACCATTTGCATCATATTTATGTTTGTTGGTCTGTTCTTTCTTCTCTCTTTTTTTCCCCTTTTTTTCTTCTCTTTTCTCTTTTCTTCTCATCTCTTCTTTCTCTTCTCTTTTCGTTTCTATTGTTTTTCTTCTCTTCTCTTCTCGTTTCCCTTCTCTTCTCTTTTCTCTTCTCTTCTCTTTTCTCTTATCTTCCCTTCCTTTCCCTATTTAACTTTTCTTCTCTCCCCATAGCGAACGAAGAACAAGAATTAAAAAAAAACAAAAAAAAAACTGAAGGACCGAGAAAAATAGAGTAGAACAAGAAAGAAAAGATTAAAGTAACGAAATGGGAGACAGAGAGAATCATAAAAACGTAAAAGAACGAAGGAACGAGAAAGAGAGATTAGAAAAAGAGACAAAAAGACTATAGACAACATGAAAAAATACAACGATAAAGAAGTAGGAAGGAAAGAAAACGATAAAAGAAAGAAAGGAGAGAAAGAATGAAAACGAGGAGGAAAAGAAAGAACGAGGAGGAAAAGAAAGACAGAAAGAAAACGAGAAGGAAAAAGAAAGAAAGAAAGAAAAAAAGGATATAAAGAAAGAAAAAGAAAAAGAAAAAGAAAGAAGGCAAGAAAAACAGAGAAAGAACGCAAGAAAGGGAGAAAGAAAGGAGGAAAGACAAGAGAAAGAAAGCAAGAAAGAGAGGGAGAAAGAAAGAAATGGGCGAGCGTGCGGCGCCAGCCTCCCTCATCCCCATCACAAGGAGATAAAAGCTGAGATTGTTTAGATGAAGACTTATGGATCCATCAGTCTCGCTGGATAAAACATCGTGAACATTTCTTGGCGGTT